ATTATTATTATTATTATTATTATTATTATTATTATTATTATTATTATTATTATTATTATTATTGCAACTACTACACTTTGCTTCAAATGCATATATACGTCACGGTTGATCGGTCTAAAATAACGTTGAATGGGACTGGTTTTTAATGAATCTCGTACATTTAGATTTAAATGCGTATTGCCGCACACGAAAAGTCTCACACCATATGTATATTATGCACTCCTGACTTAAACATAATTTAAAAGAAAATAAAGATAAGTAATAAATACTTTGTATACATGAACAAGAAGAGAAAAGATTTTTAAGACATTTTATAAGCACATACTCGTAGAATACAATTGGTACCTTTGTCTACATGCAGATTATAGCATAATAAAATCACTCCCGTCAATATCAGCCTTTACTCGCATCGTTTATATATGTGTATTTGTTTGACAAATGTGTTGATATTGTAGATCTGTATTATAAGACACATTCTTAAAATTTTGACTAAGGCTTAAAAGTAAAGTTTTATATTTTTTTGTCCATTTATTTAATTCGTGCAAGAAATTATGATTTTTGGCAATAAGCTGATAAAAGCTCACGATCAAACTTACGCCTAGGCCTATATATGCCAACATTTTATTCATCGCATTGCTTTCCGTTTGTCGAAATTAGGCATATGATACATTACCACTGAATCTAGATCATTATTCTTACAATAATTTGTAATGTATACATGCATTAATTCGTAATTATAACAAATTTAATTAGAATTTGTTTGCCTACCTTCCACTCCGCTTTGAGCATTGTTTTCTGTTCGTATTTTGTCTATGTAATTTTGAATAAATTTCTTTTATTTTTGCTCTTTTTTGTGTATTGTGAAATCTACATATTACCATACACAACTAATTGGTAGAATTTTGTTGTTGGAATCGATCAGTCATGTCCGTTTAATTATTCAGCTTGACATTCTTAATTATTTTCTTTTTTTTTTTGATAGAAAAGTTTATGAACTTCTAAGAATTTGTCATAACAGGGCTCAACACACTTTTACATTATGCACATCTGCGTCCGCACTAATATTTCTGGGAGGATGGGGAGGTGTTACACAGTCCATATCAAAGAAACGTACCTTCAAAGTGATGCCGAAATGATCAGGGAAAGAGTCAAAACATAGCGATGAAAGGATTTTCATCCAAATATTTGGGACAAACGTATTTTTAAAGATGACATTTTTTACTTTGACAACAATGCTTCGATGTTTGCATAAATATTTCAAAAGCTATATTGAATTGTTGGCTGCGATTAATTGCATATATTTGTATCGAGACATGTTAGTTTACATACTCTTTATATTTAATATTCATACTCATCACAGTGTATAAACTCCCCTTAAAATTTAAACTATTACCTTCGAAGACTTTCACAAAGTAATCGGTAAAAAAAGAAAATATAGACATGATCTAACGCTATCGTATTAAATGTATTCATCTTTCGTACAAAACAAATTCGCTAAAATAACAAAATCAACCTTTCAAAACAACTCTAATTCCCAGGGTTAAACGGTTTCAGAAGGTAATGTCTTTTTTTACGCTTGGGGAGCAGTTTGACATAATTTTATTATCGACGTCATTTATGTTATAAACCAATCAAATATGTGGATTTTAAGAATAGGTTTACTATGTAGCATTAATAATTTCAATGATAATTAATATCCTAAAACACTTTTGCTTAGTAATTACGGGGATAATTTCTCATAAAATGCAATACAGCACTTATTTTCAAGAATTTCTTCGGATTTTTTTTTTTCTTTTACAGTAAGATGAACATTACTAAAGCTGAGATCTAGAAGATCTGAGAAATACAATATTTTAAAATATCAGAAAAGGCCTATGTTAAACGTATACTCGAACAGTACTGTGCATTTAGGGATGTGACTCAACTTCAGGGAAATGAAAAAGAAGACGAATTAATAAAAGTAATTAAACTTTATTAGAACATGTAAGTCGAGATGTTCTAATCTTTATCCTTCATTTTGCCCAATTATACTAAAAATGTATCGAAAACTAAAAATAGTGCATGCATCACAGACAGAAAGCAATAAATAATTAAGCAAATATGTCGAAACTGGAATTTCCTTGAACTGGTAAAGATATTGAGAGAGAATGGTATGTATGTATGTATGTATGTATGTATGTATGTATGTATGTATGTATGTATGTATGTATGTATGTATGTATGTATGTATGTATGTATGTATGTATGTATGTATGTATGTATGTATGTATGTATGTATGTATGTATGTATGTATGTATGTATGTATGATTTTGAGAGAGAATGGTATGTATGTATGTATGTATGTATGTATGTATGTATGTATGTATGTATGTATGTATGTATGTATGTATGTATGTATGTATGTATGTATGTATGTATGTATGTATGTATGTATGTATGTATGTATGTATGCATGCATGCATGCATGCATGCATGCATGCATGCATGTATGTATGTACAGCATACGTTCGTATGTTTCTATGTATGTGCGTGCGTGTGTGAAAACAAAGATTGTTGAAATATTGGTGAACTCTTTTCAAGCTGTTGGATACCAGTACGCACGTGTACCTTCACTTGTCTTTTATCAGGTACACTTGCATGTCGAGGGCGGACAAGAAAATTGACAGAATTTAAAATAGATAAAAAAAACCACAAAAGAATGCGCTCTCTTTTGTTTGTTTTTTTCTGACCCAAAGTCAGTACGTTCGAGTGTAAGAGAAAATGGTAAATCATTTGAGGACACATTTCAATCTTCCAAATGTGATATTTAAGACCTAAAAACAGAAAGGAGATTGGCACTTTCCTTCGACTTCTGATTGTTTTCGGGATCTTCCACTAAATAGCTGGATTTCAATTTCTTTTCTGAAAGTGTTTCATCGTTAATATTTGCAGTTAAACACTGCCATAGATCACCTACAATGGAAAATTACATCGTTGTCCGGCAAATCGTCCATTGCTGTTATGCCAATCCAAAGCCTAACAGCATAAGTGTATATTCAGTTTTCTGGAATCGTGTTTCCTGTCTGGCATGAGGAAAACATAGTTTACATGATTACAGTGTATATAAAATAAATCTAAAATATATCTAAAATATAAAAAAATTTAGAGATACTTTGTATTTTATATTTTGAGCGATGTGTAAGTACCATAAAAATTATAAACGTGGTTCAATATGTATGTATGTATGTATGTATGTATGTATGTATGTATGTATGTATGTATGTATGTATGTATGTATGTATGTATGTATGTATGTATGTATGTATGTATGTATGTATGTATGTATGTATGTATGTATGTGTGTATCTATCTATCTATCTATCTATCTATCTATCTATCTATCTATCTATCTATCTATCTATCTATCTATCTATCTATCTATCTATCTATCTAATGCAAACATCTATAACGTTAGGTAGACGAATTTATACCAGGAAACTCAGTTTTTGAAACAAGTTGAGCAATGTTATATAAATCAAAATACTTTCTGCGACTAGCATTATGAACGAGGTTCATAAGTCAACGTTCAGAAGTTTTAGATTTTCTTGATCGCATGACGTTAGACTTTACATAACTCTAGGATATTTCGTGGCGTTGCTAGCAGTTGTGTCACAGTGTGGAATTCGATTTGTATGATGTAAAGTCATGGTTGGTTTAAAGATAAAGGTAATAAAACAATATTTCACTTGTTGCAGATTTGGCTTTTTTATTCTACGTAACGGATCCTATGAATAAAAATTAATACAACAAAACTTTTGTCTAAAAGACATATTGGCTACACTGATAATGAAACTAAATTCGAATAATTGGGATATTTAACAAACATTTTCATGGAGGAAAAACGATATAGATTTATATATAGTTGTTAATAAACTTGATATCAGTGGATATTGGTTTTAAAAATCAGACAGGAATGTTCGTGTTTTGTTGTTGTTTATATTACAATAGATCGCGAGAATAGTTACAACAAACAAAAATTTAGAATGACAGGTGATAAATGGTACTTTCATGAAGGAAAGCATAGCCTTTGATTTATGGTGTGACAGTTTTACATTGGCGTGGCTTGAATAAAATTAATAATTATAAAGATTAATCTTTCTCGTTTCATTTTATCAGTCAATTATCTTCCCAACGTGTGGTCAGCTTGACGTTAAACGAACAGAACACTGAATTATTATATTCTCAAGAAAATAATCGCAGTTAAAATTATATCTCCATACGATTTTGCGATGTTTAATACCGCTCTGTTAGAATCCTTGTACAGTTCACATCTAAAACAGTTATATACATAAATAACGTTACACGTGACTTCTGAGAGATTTTTAACAGGCCCCCGCCGGGTGCGCATGCGTCGACATTAAACTGAAAACGCAAGCCATTTCAAACGTTACTTCGGATGACGCACTTTCTGACTGAGAGGAAACAAAACCATAAAATAGTTTTCATACATCCAGGGTTACACGAAAATAAGCTATGATGTCAACCTTGATTTCCCGTTTTGTGTCAATGAACGCGCGCGTGTTAGGCAAACAGGGGGTAAATGGAAAAGAATCCGAGCAAAGCGGCAGGTCATCCAGCACAGGATGAAATTATTTTATATTCTCCCTGTGAGTGCCCAGGAAAAATAGTTCTTATTACAGCCCTTCCTTTATGGTAAATTAGCAATAAACCCATTGTTGATTAAAATGAATGGGAGTGGGAAGGGAAAGAGTTAATACTTACTTAGTTACCATCGATAAAAACAGGGTAATATGTATATGGATGCTACATTTTGTTAACGTTTATGAGAACGAAGTTTCATTTTCGTTGAATATTTTATGAAAATTTATCTATAATATTTAACCCTTGTATATAATTCTGACAAAGTTTTTTAAAAGCTAAAATATGAATGATAATGTAATAAGAAATGTCTTATACAAATTTCAGTTTTCTTTTTCTTGCAAGCAGTCATTTCACGCCCGGTGGCCTAAGTGGTTAGAGCGTCCGCCTCCAATGCGGGAGGTTACCGGTTCGAACCCGGACGAGTACCA